TGTTGACCAGGATGGTCTCGATCTCTTGACCTCGTGATCCACCCGCCTCGGCCTCCCACAGTGCTGGGATTACAGGCTTGAGCCACCGCGCCCGGCCGTGTTTCTTAAACTTTAATATGCATATGAATCACGTGGGTATTTATTAAAAATACACATTGATTCCGTAGGTCCTAGGTAAGGCCTGCAATTCTATATTTCTAGCACGTCTTGGGTCGTGCTGATACTACTGGTCTGGTGTCCTACAACACAGCACTATTTACATTTTGAGCTAGGTTATTCTTTGTTGTTGGGTATGGGGAGGGCTCTCTATGCATTGTAGGATATGTAGTAGCATCCTTGTCTCCTACCCACTAGATGCCAATAGCAGCTCCCCCATCCGGCAGCCATAAATCTCTCCACACCGGTAAAATATCCCCTGGGAGCAATATTGCTCCCTGCTGAGAACCACTGTTCTTAATCTAACTAACTCTCTTACATTTGAGGAAACTGAAACTTAGAATGACTTACCGAAGACAGGAGAGTTTGTTCTTACTCTGCCTTTGTTTAACTTGGTCCCAACTCTGTTGTTTTTTCTGTCACCTAAGGAATTTCTTGTCAGTTTTTGTTTACTACTTAAGTTGGTAAGGTTTTTTAAAATGTGATATCACTAGCACTTTTTATGTTTAAGACTTGCAATGTCATCTTGTTATCCGACTCTTAAAACATTGCGTACAAGTGGGGTATATTGCCACCAGGTGGCAGTGAATACCCTAGGTGAGTGGCTGGGACAACCAGGTTTACATAGTATGTCATATTAAATAGTGGTATGCATTTTAATTTAAAAATGAGAATGTTTACAGTCATCAATATAGCTGTGACTAGAAAAGATATTTGATACAGAGGCACATGGTTTAAAAAAAGCTTCATCTTGGAAAATGTTAAATACAAAATTCTTGGGACCAGATACCACTGTTTCTGATCTCAGAATTTTGGGGGTTTTGGAATATTTGCATTATACCAGTTGAGCATCCTAAATCTAGAAATCCAAAATCTGGTATACTCCAATGAATTTTTATGCTGGTGTTCAGAAAGTTTTGGATTTTGGGGTTTTAGATTAAGGAAACTCTGTATACATATATAGTCATCTCTAATGTGCTCTACCCTCTAGTCTTTGTTTTTTTCCTGAGATGGAGTCTCGCTCTGTTGCCAAGGCTGGAGTGCAATGGCGTGATCTTGGCACACTGCAGCCTCTGCCTCCTGATTTAAGCAATTCTCCTGCCTCAGCCTCCCCAGTAGCTGGGACTACAGGCATGTGCCACCACACCTGGCTAATTTTGTATTTTTAGTAGAGATGGGGTTTCACCATATTGGCCAGGCTGGTCTCAATCTCCTGACCTCATGTGATCCACCTGCCTAGCTAGGCCTCTCAAAGTGCTAGGATTACAGGTGTGAGCCACCGCACCTGGCCAATATATTTTGAAAGAGTTAGATACGAAGTAAAACCTTGCCAATCCTTAATCCTAATAATTCTTGACCCAAGGTAACCCTGGCTTTATCCCTAGATTTGTTTAGAATGCTTTAATTTACTTTGCATTCTTAATTTCAGATTAGACCCAATTCTGGCCTCTTCGGACCACCTTAGAAATAAAAGTCCAAGTACTATTTCCTAGGGAGTTCATGCTAGCTGGGGAAAGCTTTATGTGTTACTTGATACAATCAAAGCTAAGTTCTTAGCTTGCATTCCGAGCATTCCTGATTAGTTCTTCTAGCTATAAAATTTGAAAGAAACGAATTATAACTTTAACCATGTTTCTAACTTATACTAACAAACTATGGCACAGTGTTATTAGATAATTCCAACTAATTTGCCATTCTAAATAATTAAGCAAATATTTGGCTGTTAAAATAATCTTACAGCAGCTGGGCTTAACTGTAGAATCCTAACTTTTCTTCACTCTTGATTCTAGGCTGTTTGAAGAAGAAAATAATTAGGGATTAATTCCTAAAATAATTCTCCTTCTCAGTAATGTTACTTTGGGAACGATAGTATTATTTACGTTTTAAAATAGAGTCAAGGCTGGGTGCAGTGGCCTATGCCTTGTATTCTCAGCACTTTGGGAGGCTGAGGTGGGAGGATCGCTTGAGCTCAGGAGTTTGAGACCAGCCTGGGGACCGTGTCTTTACATTAAAAAAAAAAAAAAAAACCATAAAAATGAAAGGTTAGTAATCAAGATAAAATTAGATCCCTTTTAGGGGTATTACCTCTTGTGAAGGGTAGGTTTCAGGACTGGGTGCCGTGGCTTATGCCTGAAACTGCAACATTTTGGGAGACCACAACAGGAGGATCACTTTAGGCCAGCGGTAGTTCAAAACCAGCACAGGCAACAGAGTGAAACCCTGTCTCCATAAAAAAATTAAAAAAAAAAAAATTGCTTGGGCATGGTGGCACACTCCTGTAGTCCCAGCTACTTGAGAGGCTGAGGTGGGAGGACCACCTGAGCGTAGGAGTTGGAGGCTAAAGTGAGCTATGGTTGTGCCACTATACTCCAGCCTGGGGGACAAAAGGAGACCTTGCCTCTTTTTTAAAAAAAAAGATGAAAAAGGTTTGGTTCTAAAAAGGAATAGCTTTTGAAACAGGGAAAGGAGACAGATTTGCTAAGTAAATGCCTGTGATAAGCCAAGCACAATTATAGATCTTTTATACCTCTGTGATTCCATTTAATATTTAACAAGTTTATGAAGTTGGTAGTATTTTTATTTAATAGAAGAGGCATATTCAAGGATTAGGTAATATATGTAACAAATGGTGTAAGATTTGAATTTGAGTCTTTTCCCACCATAGTATATTGGCTCCTAGAGCATCAAAAGTTACTTTTTGTTTTTTGAGATGGGGTCTCACTCTTATTGCCCAGGCTAGAGTGCAGTGGCACAATCACGGCTCACTGCAGCCTCAACTTCCTGGGCTCAAGTGATCCTCCCTTCTCAGCTTCCTGAGTAGATGGGACACCATGCCCTACTAAAAATTTTTTTTTTTTTTTTTTTGTAGAGACAGGGTCTTACTCTGTTGCCCAAGCTGATCTTGAACTTCTGACCTCACGTGATCCTCCCACCTCAGCCTCACAAATTGGTGGGATTAGAGGTGCCATGCCAGCCAAAAGTTTTTTCAAAGGATGGGATATTTAAAGTGATGGGTTTCCAAGTGGTATAGATGCAGTGTAAAATAAAATTAAAAAGTTATGGTTTCCAACAGAGACAAAGGAAATGGACTTGTAGTTTGCTAAAACAAAGGAAATTGTCATTTAATGGATGTCAAATAAGCATTGGATGCCCTAGAGAGCCCAGTACTCTGGTAATCCTGAGAGGTAGATAGAAAATGATTAGATCCCTTTTAGGGGCATTACCTCTCGTAAAGGGTAGGTTCCAGGACTGGGTGCTGTGGCTTATGCCTGAAACTGCAACATTTTGGGGCCGGACGCAGTGGCTGTTGGGCTCAATTGATCCTCCCACCTCAGCCTCCCAAGTAGCTGGGATTACAGGCATGCACCACCAAGCCCAGATAATTTTTTGCATTTATTTTTTGTAGAGACGGGCTTTCGCCATGTTACCCAGGTTGGTCTCGAACTCCTGAACTCAAGTGATCTCAGGCCTGATTGCTTGACTGCCTTGGCCTCCCAGAGTGTTGGGATTACAGGCATGAGCCACCATGCCTGGCCAAATTCACGATTCTTTAGGCTCCTTGATTTGTTATTTTTCTTTTTGTTCCTACTGTGTGGTTATTTTGGTACCTGTACTTATATGTGACAGTACAGAGGGGAGAGGGGAAAATGGATACAGTTTATTCCTAGGGTAGTTGAGAAAAGCAGTTCATTGGTGAGGAATAAGATTTTTTTTAGATTTGAAATAGCACTGATAAATTAAAATTACAAATAGTTCTCAAATCAGCTTTCAGCGTTACAGCCTTAATGAGACATTTTCTTCCTAATGTCTAACCATTGATAACATTTTTCTGCCTATACTTATGTTTCTTATAGAGAGTGTTAACTCTTAATATTTACTGAAACAATCTTTCCCCAGGGTCTTATTTTTGTGGTAGATAGCAATGATCGTGAAAGAATTCAGGAAGTAGCAGATGAGCTGCAGAAAATGGTAAGAATATACTTTAAATTCATCATTTTCAAGGTGTGTTTTTCTGGGTGAAACTGGTGGTGTGTTAGTACATTTTACCTATGATGAGATTATACAAATGGTTTTTGAAGGGGGCTAGAAATAAACTTAAGAAACTATATTATCCACAGATTCTTAATAATGTACTTTAAAATCTCTTATAGAACTTTTTAAAAAACACATGGAAGAGTAGCTACTTCATTAAGTTGGGAGGAAGGCACAGCAGCTATTTTTTAAATGCCTCATGGGTAATCTTGATGCCTGTGTCTGGCTGAGGATATCACATTTAGCTCAGTGCCTTATTTTACTGATATCAAATCTGTATTGCCGAAGCAGTTTTGACCCTAAGAATCTTGGTTCAGATGTTTTGTTCCCAGGGTCATCGGTTCCATTTTCTCTATGTTGTGCCAATAATTACTTTAGAAATTTTTTAATAGTAATCATTAAAAGATAAGGAATTCCTTCTGAAAGTAGAGACAGTTTGGTTCACAGTGGCATTTTGCAGACTTGCCATATATTGGATTCATGTTTTCATGTGTTCATGTTGTTATTTTGAACAGAGGAAAACTTAGGAGAATCCTTGTCATGATTTTAAACTTGTAGGCATAAAATGTTTACTGAAATGAAATCTTATTATTATTTTTTTTGAGGCAGAGTCTTGCTCTGTTGCCCAGGCTGGAGGTATAGTGGCATGTTTTGGCACACTGTAACCTCTGCTTCCAAGGTTCAAGCAATTCTCCTGCATCAGCCTCCCAAATAGTTGGGATTACAGGCATGCGCCACCATGCCTGGCTAATTTTTTGTATTTTTTTAGTAGAGACGGGCTGACCAGGTTGGTCTTGAACTCCTGACATCGTGATCCGCCCACCTTGTCTTCCCAATGTGTTGGGATTGTAGGTGTGAGCCACCATGCCTGGCCTGAAATGAAATCTTAATTCTCATTCATTACTCCTAAGACTAGAGTGCAGTTTGTAAAACCATTGTGCCAGTAAATGTGTAACTAAATCATTGTTGGATTTTTGCCTGAGTCAAATGTCACCAGCTTTCCATCTTTTTTTTTTTTAAAAAAAGCACTTCATTGAGACATACTTGTTGACATACTATAAATATCAACCTTTTAAATTGCAAATCAGTGGCTTTTAGTATTCACAGTTGTACAACTGTCACCACAGTCTACTACTAGAAAATTTTCATCACCCCAAAAAGAAATCTTGGAACCATTAGCAGTCACTCTCCATTTCCTTCCTCTCCTGCGCTACACTCCCAGCCTCTGACAGCCACTAATTAGTCGGTCTCTATACAGTCACCTATTCTGGACATTCATATAAATGAAAACTTACAAAGCATTCTTTTGTGACTGTTTTCACTTAGCATAATTTTTCAGGGTTCATCTATATTATATCATGCATCAGTACAGGTTCTATTCTTGGTTCCGTTTTTGTATTTTCATGATACTGCCAACGCCCAAATAATTGTGGTGTTGTCCCACTGTTGGTCCAGCTGGCAGGAAAGAAGTCTGAAAAGTACTTCTGCTATTAAGTACCATAAGATCCTGTCATAAACATCTTATTCCCATATGTGTTTCTTGCCCTTATCAATTCTGACAATGGGTAATCATGAAGGCTGAATGATGAGTGATTTGCTTTAATGGAGTTTAGGATGATTGACTTGAAAAACAGTCTGTCTTACTTGAAGGCATATGACTGTTTGCTCTGGATTTAAAAACTGAGTGGTATGAGTTATGAGTATCTGAACTTTATGTAGAGAAATTTGGTTAATGTTTAATAATGTATATAATGCTGAGTAAAGTATATATAGGAAGGCGGTTTGTTTCAAAAATTGGATCCTGGTTGGTAGTTTTTAATGCCTTACCTTTTAATTTCCAGCTTCTGGTAGATGAGTTGAGAGATGCAGTGCTCCTGCTTTTTGCAAACAAACAGGATTTGCCAAATGCTATGGCCATCAGTGAAATGACAGATAAACTAGGTCTTCAGTCTCTTCGTAACAGAACAGTAAGTATATGGAGGTTAATATTAACCTCTTGACTATTAAGAGTTATTAGGCTGGGCACGGTGGCTCACACCTGTAAACCCAACACTTTGGGAGGCTGAGACGGGCAGGCCACCTGAGGTCAGGAGTTCGAGACCAGCCTGACCAACATGGAGAAACCCTGTCTCCTAAAAATACAAAATTAGCTAGGTGTGGTGGTGCGTGCCTGTAATCCTAGCTACTCAGGAGGCTGAGGCAGGAGAATCACTTGAACCCAGGAGGTGGAGGTTGCGGTGAGCTGATATCATGCCATTGCATTCCAGCCTGGGCAACATGAGTGAGACTCTGTCTCAAAGATAAAAAGGATAATTGTGTAAACTAGTATTCAGTTTAAACATTTATTTATTATCTCCTTTTGACAAATAATGAGCACATCATTTATTTAAAAATATGGTAATAAGCTTTAAATATCTTTGATTTTTGTAAAGATATAGAAAACTATTGTGGAATTGGTCTAAAGATTATTGATAGTCTTTTTTTTTTTTGAAGGGGGAGGTGGAAGGAATGGAAAGAAGATTATTGATAGTCTTAATTTTAATTTTGTATCTTTTAACCCTACAGCAAACATTTTGTAATTTGGCTTTCTTATTAAGGGTCCAGTATTTTTAGCAACTGAAATTTAGCTAATATTGTTTAGTAGTGTTTGTTTGCTTGTTTTAAAAGTGGAGATGGGGGTCTCACTTTGTTGCTAGGCTGGTCTTGAGGTCATGGACTCAAGCAGTCCTCCCACTCTCTCAGCCTGCCAAAGCGCTGGGACTCAAGCTGTGGTGCCCAGCTTTGTTTGCTTGTTATCAGCTTATGGAGGGGACCAGGTACCATGGCTTTCCTGTAATCCCAACACTTTGGGAAGCCAAGGCAGGATGATTGCTTGATGCCAGGAGTTTGAAACCAACCCGGGCAACAAAGTGAAACCCCATCTCTACAAAAATAAAAACTAGCTGGGTGTGGTGGCATGCGCCTTTAGTCCCAGCTACTTAGGAGGCAGAGGTGGGAGGACTGTTTGAACCCAGAAGTTGGAGGCTGCAGTGATCTGTGATTGTACCCATTGCCCTTCGGCCTGGGTGACAGAAAAAGACTGTTTCTTTATTTAAAAAAAAAAAATTGGGCCGGGCGCGGTGGCTCACATCTGTAATCCCAGCACTTTGGGAGGCCGAGGCGGGTGGATCACGAGGTCAAGAGATCGAGACCATCCTGGTCAGCATGGTGAAACCCCGTCTCTACTAAAAATACAAAAAATTAGCTGGGCATGGTGGTGTGTGCCTGTAATCCCAGCTACTCAGGAGGCTGAGGCAGGAGAATTGCCTGAACCCAGGAGGCGGAGGTTGCGGTGAGCCCAGATCGCGCCATTGCACTCCAGCCTGGGTAACAAGAGCGAAACGACGTCTCAAAAAAAAAAAAAAAAATTCTGTAAAATCACTTATCATTTGAGATCAGTGATTGAGATAAATTATCATAAACTTAGTGTTATGTACTTTTTATAGTAATTTTGCATTAACTTGTAAACAAGGCAAATACTGTGGCTGTGGTAAAAAATGAAACAACAGAGAACCTATTGCCTGTTTGAGACATCTCAGGCTGATTTAAACAACTTAAACTGGGCTGGGTGTGGTGGCTCACACCTGTAATCCCAGCACTTTGGGAGGTGAAGGCAGGTGGATCACTTGAGACCAGGAGTTCAAGACTAGCCTGGCCAACATGGTGAAACCCTGTCTCTACTCAAAATACAGAAATTAGCTGGATGTGGTGGTGCATGCCTATGTAATCCCCAGCTACCTGAGAGGCTGAAGACATGAGATTCTCTTGAGCCTGCCAGGCAGTGGTTGCAGTGAGCTGAAATCACACCACTCCAGCCTGGGCAACAGATTGAGTTCTCTGCCTCAAAACAATAAATAAATAAACAACATTAACTGTAAATGATACAAGTTTTCCATGCAATTGGCAATATGGTATACTTGCAGTGGCCTTGAAACATTAAACTGGTCAAAAAAATTAATAAAACGAAACTATGCCTTAAATGTAAATTGCTTTCTAGTCTTTATTTTCTTTTCTTGATACTTTCACATAGTTAACTGGAGATAAGATTCATTACCATCTAAAAAACAAGAACGGGCTGGGCATTGTGACTCACGCCTGTAATCCCAGCACTTTGGGAGGCAGGCAGATCATGAGATCAGGAGTTCAAGCCCAGCCTGGCCAACATAGTGAAACCCTGTCTCTATTAAAAATACAAAAATTAGCCAGGCATGGTGGTGCATGCCTGTAGTCCCAGATACTCAGGAGGCTGAGGCAGGAGAATAGCTTGAATCCGGGAGGCAGAGGTTGTGGTGACCCAAGACTGTGCCACTGCACTCCAGCCTGGGCAACAGAGTGAGACTCAGTCTCAAAAAAAAAAAAAGCAAGAACATTTTAGAATGCATGAGACTAAAGATAGTAGAATTATCTGAAAAGCTTGCCCCTAAAATATCAACAAACTCTACTCTTTCAAAAATTTACCTCTTCTACTTTGGGGTAGTTTATTAGTTACTAATTTCCCCATGATTTCTCTTTTCAGATTACGTGGTAGAACGTTTACTAAAAGGGAACTAAAAACCAGCACTGAAAGAAAGCTGAATGACTGAGGGGGCGGGGAATGTTGTTTAAATATAATGAATAGGTAGAAGTAACTTATTTATTTATTTATTTTATTTTATTCTATTTTTTGAGATGGAGTCTCACTCTCTCGCCCAGGCTGGAGTGCAGTGGCATGACCTTGGCTCACTGCAACCTCCAGAATAGGTAGAAGTAGCTTCATGTTTAAAAAATAATGTAATCTAAAAAAGTAGAGACAAAGTCTCACTATGTTGCCCAGGCTGATCTCAAACTCAAGTGATCCTCCCGTCTCCACCTCCCAAAGTGCTAAGATTTATAGGTGTGAGCCATCATGCCCAGCCAGAAGTAGCTTTAAATATGGGAGAGTTTTGTGAGAAGCAAGAGATTGAGAAGACTCCTAATTTTGATTAAGAAAGTTGAAACACTGGTTATATATTAACTGTGTTAATCAAGTTTTTTCTCGTCTTTTCTTTACAGTGGTATGTTCAAGCCACTTGTGCAACACAAGGAACTGGTCTGTATGAAGGACTTGACTGGCTGTCAAATGAGCTTTCAAAACGTTAAATGAAACTGGATAACTAACCAAGGACATGTTTGATAAAATTGGTCTAGGCTTGTTACAACAAAATTAGTTTGTATCTTGGTTATTAAACAGTATCTGGGACTGGTTTGGGCAGAACTTATTTTGTTGCCAATTATTGTTTACCAAGTATAATGTTGCTATTTAGCAATGTTATTGGTTTTAAAAAAATTCTCCTTGGGGAATAAGTATCCTCTTTCAATTTTACTTCCTATAAGCCTAAATGCCTGGACAAAGCTATTGTGAAACCTTTAAATAAATCTGTTTTGAGTGGTTTTTGAGCCCCAGACAAATAATGTTTTAAAGTTATCCCCTTGCTACTTTACTGACACCTTTATCATTCCTGAGACAGTCTGCTAATTTTAAAATGTAGCATTCCATTTGTATTTATTTCTCTCCCTTGCCAAAAATGATTTTCTAATATTGCTTGTACCAGCCAGGGAAAGATCCAAAACACTATTCAGCTCTCTTGCACTGAGGAAATTTTTTCCCCCTGCATTGACTCCTGGCCTACATCAGCCAAACTTACCTCAGTGTGGTTTGGATTTGATAGCTAATTAGTTCCGTGCTGGTTGCAAAGAATTGATATTTAGATGGTTTTTAATATTCAGCAGATTGTCTTCCTTTATATCATGTCTTTTTTTTATGTTGCATGTTGCTTTTGTTATCAGCCTGATTTTTTGCTCAGTATATGATAATTCTGCTGATGTTTTATTATTGGGCAGACATATCTTCATTAAGAGTTTTTGGAAAACTCATCAAATTCAATGAATACATTTTCTTCATAACCCATTTGGAATTATTCCTAATAAAATGGTAAAATACGTAATTGTGTGTTCTTCTTGAGTCTTGAAGGTATTTGAAATGTATTTTCTCATATAGCAAACTTTGCGTGCATATTTTGTGTACTGTGAACATTAATACAGATCCCACTGGTAGGTTACTAATTAGTATAAAGTGGAGATCTGGGTTGTTCTCATGTGTATAACAACATGGGGAGCACTATTAAAAACTTAAGTTTTCTAAAGTCAGATCAAGAGTAAAAAGCAGGCGTGGCACAGTGGCTCACGCCTATTAACTTAGCACTTTGGGAGGCCGCGGCAGAAGGATCACTTGAGACCAGGAGTTCAAGATCCGCCTTGGCGACATAGTGAGACCCTGTCTCTACTTAAAAAGAAACAAACAACGGGGGAGAGGCATGGCGTGTGGAGTAGTGCGGGGAGAGTAAAAGGCTATATAATAGAATGAGCCGCCCCAAAACCACAAATGCATGTGTTTTTAGTTAAGGTTAATTAAGAAAAATTCAAGTGCTGCTTGTATGGCCAATATAGAGACTAAGTGATGTTACTCTTCTACAAAAAAGTTTCACAGGCACTTTTTTCTTTTTTAAAATGGAGTTTCGCTCTTCGCTCAGGCTGGGGTGAAGTGGCGCAATCATGGCTCACTGCAACCTCCACCCCCTGTGTTCAATCGATTCTCCTGCCTCAGCCTCCCGAGTAGCTGGGAGTACAGGCGTGTGCCATCACACCAGCTAATTTTTGTATTTTTAGTAGAGACAGAGTTTCACCATGTTAGCCAGGCTGGTCCCAAACTCTAGACCTCAGGTGATTCATCCACCTTGGCCTCCCAAAGTGCTAGGATTACAGGCATGAGCCACCATGCCGAATCACACTTTTCTTTTTAACATGATACATTTTAGAACTTCAACAGAAAGTTGCGTTTAACTCATAAAGGTATACCTCATCAACTACATCTATTAAGTTGTTAAGGGCTCAACTTGATAACTGAGTAACTTAGTTTCTGTCTGTATTCTAATGATGTATTCTTAATGGCTAAGGTCATGCCACTGCATTCCAGCCTGGGCGAGAGAGTGAGACTCCATCTCAAAAAATAAAATAAAATAAATAAATAAATAAGTTACTTCTACCTATTCATTATATTTAAACAACATTCCCTGCCCCCTCAGTCATTCAGCTTTCTTTCAGTGCTGGTTTTTAGTTCCCTTTTAGTAAACGTTCTACCACTTAATCTGAAAAGAGAAATCATGGGGAAATTAGTAACTAATAAACTACCCCAAAGTAGAAGAGGTAAATTTTTGAAAGAGTAGAGTTTGTTGATATTTTAGGGGCAAGCTTTTCAGATAATTCTACTATCTTTAGTCTCATGCATTCTAAAATGTTCTTGCTTTTTTTTTTTTTGAGACTGAGTCTCACTCTGTTGCCCAGGCTGGAGTGCAGTGGCACAGTCTTGGGTCACCACAACCTCTGCCTCCCGGATTAAGTTTGCTAGCATATCAGATAGCTGAAGAGATTTAGTATGTTTAAGATTATTTTATCACATATATAAAATTAAAATTTAGGCCAGGTATGGTGGTTCATGCCTGTAATCCCAGCACTTTGAGAGGCTAAGGTGGGCAGATCACCTGAGGTTAGGAGTTCAAGACGAGCCTGGCCATATGGTGAAATCCCATTTCTACTAAAAATATAAAAATTAGCTAGGTGTGGTGGTGCACATCCATAATCCCAGCCACTAAGGAGGCTGAGGCAGGAGAATCGCTTGAGCCCAGGTGGTGGAGGTTGCAGTGAGCCGAGATCGTGCCACTGCACTCCAGCTTGGGTGACAGAGAAAAAAAAATTTAGCATGTTTTAAATATGATTGAGTACACTGTGAAGATGGCCAATTTGCAAAATAATTTCCCATATAATTTTGAATGTCATATTAGCTCAATTTTTAAAAAATTTATTTAAAAATCTTGAATTTAGAGCTTTCTTTTTAAAATATATTTTTAATAAGTAGAGTTTGATTTTTTTTTTTTTTTTGAAAGACGGGATTTCACCATGTTGGTCAGGCTGGTCTTGAACTCCTGACCTCAGGTGATCCGCTTGCCTTGGCCTCCAAAGTGCTTGGATTACAGGTGTGAGCCAACACGCCCAGCTGGTCTTTTTTTTTTTAAGCAGCATAACTTGGTTATATTCAGCCACTGTCATTTCAGTTTCTCAGGAATTAGTATTTCTGATTCTTGCTATCTGCAAATGTGTACCTAAATCAAGATTTAAAAGCAGTAGGAACTAGATTGTTTCATAACATTGTGACTGTACTGAATGCAACTGGCTTATACACTTGAGAATGTTAATCTCATGTGAATCATGTGAATTTTATCTCAAGAAAAAATGATTTGGTAATATATCAGCAAACAGTACTGTATGGTTATTCTGAAGTTAGTGCTAAGAAAAAAAAATCAAGTTAATACAGCTCTAGTATTTTCAACATTTAAAAAAGTACTTTCTCATAAAGCAGGAGCATAGAACTTATATATTACCCATGTCAGTTAAAGCTGTTAAAAATTGCCCTCTCTACCCCCAACAAAATGAACTCTAGAGTAGTTTTCTGGAGACAGGGTCTTGCTCTGTCACCCAGGCTGAAGTGCAGATCACACCTTGATCACAGCTCACTGCAGGCCTGACCTCTTGGGCTCAAGTGATCCTCTCTGGTTTCCACCTCCTGAGTAGCTGGGACTACAGACATGCACTACCATGCCTGGCTAATTTCATTTTTTGCAGAGATGGGGTCTCACAATGTTGCCAAGCCTGGTCTTGAACTCCTCAGCTCAAGTGATTTTCCTGCCTTAGCCTCCCAAAATGTTGGGATTACAGTTGTGAGCCACTGTGCCTAGCCCTCTAGATAGTGTTGCCTTCCTGTACTATATCGGGCAATTATTGTATTATTATTATTTTGAGAAAGAGTTTCGCTCTTGTTGCCCAGGCTGGAGTGCAGTGATGATCTCGGCTCACTAAACTCCCCCTCCTAGGTTTGTGATTCTCCTGCCTCAGGTTCCCAAGTAGATGAAATTACAGGCACCCACCACCACCCCCTGCTAATTTTTCTATGTTTAGTAGAGATGGGGTTTCACCTTGTTGACCAAGCTGGTCTTGAACTCCTGACCTCAGGCGATCCACCCACCTCGGCCTCTCAAAGTGCTGGGATTATAATAGGTGTGAGCTACCATGCTGGCCAATTATTATGCTCAAAACCCGGAAATATTTATTTTGTGTTTAGAAAATTAGTTTTAAGGCCGGGCGTGGTGGCTCAGGCCTGTTATCTCAGCACTTTGGGTGTGGCTGCAGTGGGCAGATCACCTGAGGTCAAGAGATTGAGACCACCTTGGCCAACATGGAGAAATCCTGTCTCTACTAAAAATACAAAGAAAGTAGCCAGGCGTGGCATGCATCTGTAGTCCCAGCTACTAGGGAGGCTGAGGCAGAAGAATTGTTTGCACCCAGGAGGCAGAGGTGGTAGTGAACCAAGATCATGCCACTGCACTTCCAGCCTGGCCACAGAGCAAGACTCTGTCTCAAAAAAAAATTTTTAGAATATTAATTCCTATAGCAAGAACTTGTGACATTATAAAATGTGGTTTACCAAAGAAACTCACTAGATTTTCCATGTTTTCTTAAAATTAATTTCACTAAAAAATCCAAATGTAATAAAAAAAATGCAATCAATCACATGGGTTGCTTTAAACAGACATTTCTGGGTGCCTATGGGCAGTGGGAGTAGACTCAAAGTTCCAGCTCCTCGGATGAGGTGACCCTATTAAAAAATAATAAAATAAAAAACAGACATTTCTGAATAACAATGCATTCTAACTCATGAGTACAAAGAAATGTGTATGCTATTTATGCATTCTTAGTGTTCGATACCTTTGGACTCCAGTCATTCTAAAATATCTGTATACTGGAGATTTGATCAGATTATATGATACTTCACAATAACATTCCATGTCCTAACAATCTGAAATGCCTGTGTACAATCTGAGTATACTGTTTAGTCAGAAAAGGATATAGAACATGGAATGTCTGTAAAGTGCTGAGTTTTTCTGACTAGAGTTTAATCGACCTAGTTTTAATGTGGAACCTGTATATTTTTTCATGGGCATGTTTGAATTTTTTCTTTCAAAATGTTTCTCAACTTTTCAAAGTGACACTTTGTGTTTTCTCCCTATTCACTCTAAAGGTCCTGTCAACATCTTTGTTTGAAAGGAGACCAAAAACACATTTTAAAAATGAAAAAAAAATATCCACAAGAGAATCAGGTTTGGGTTTTAATCTATTATTTACATATTTGTAAACAACTGCTGTTAAAATGCTCTCAAAAATGGTATTTAGGAAGGCACAATTTGGTGGCATCAATTTTTTATTTATACTTTTTTTCTAAACAAGATCCCAAGAAACTTCCATTTTCATTTTTCCCTTGGTCAAGTGCAGATAAAACCCTTTCATTATCAAACTTACTAAAAGTTAACCATACATTTGATAGTGAGCAGAATATGAAAGTACAGATGGTATCAAAAGAGGAAAATTTTTATGATACTGGGTTCAGAGATTAAAGAATTTGAAACAAGGGCTTTCCTGACTGGGGAAAACCAAAGCTTTTCCTGAAGGGGGTGGGCTTTTAATACCCAAGCTATTAATTAAATGCAGAAATGAGATAACATAGTTATCCTGAACATCAAAAAAGCAACAGCTAAAGTATTATAAATAATGTATTTGACAATTTAATTAGTAAAGCTCCGTTACCACTCTAGGCTAGACACTAATCAGCGTAACCATTTGCAATTTCTAATTTTAAAAAGTTTGGTTTCACATTTAAATTTTCTTTTACTACATATATATTACATATATACACACTGTTGTCTGTAACTCAAATTATAATGCTTGTCTTTAAAAAGAATAGTATTTTTTTATTTCAGAGATGCCTAAAAGTCCCACTACTCACCCTTTTTCCTATTTATAAAAACCAACAATTTTGAAATTACTTCCAGCATAGAAATGCTCAATGATTCATCCAAAATTTCAAGCCTGTATCAATAGGTAGTTTCTTATAATGTATTGTGCTGTATTCTCTAATATCATATGGTCAGATACCCTGTTCATTTGTGAACATTTCTCATGGGCAAGAGTAATTAAAGACAATGAGATCAAGTTGAGTATGTTGCTACTAAATTGTGAATTTGAATACTAAATTTTGAATGCTAAATTGTGCTTGCATCCTAAAAATTAAAATGAGCTGCAGTAAGAATTAGAATATAAACTGTGTTCATTTGTACCATACACTAAAAACTAAAATCCTAAAAATAAGAATGAAAATACTTTACTTGTTCGTTGAAAAATGAAAGATGAGAAGCAATAACAATTGGTGACGATATCTTTTTATCTTTTGTTAAAGCTCTGAAATTGTAGTAAATCGCTAACTAAATTGAGGTAGAGGTAGACCCTAACGTTATACCTTCCATGTTTTAGGTCTCTCATCTTAGGTCTCTAACGTCACCTATAACTTAGTCTCTCACCTTCACTTATATATGTTTTCCCTCTTAATACATAAACATGATTCAGTTTGGAATGTGTTGTTATGAAAGAAAAATTAAGATCATTCAAATGGTACTTTAAAAATTCTGAAGTACTAGCTAAAAAAATTCACTTATAAAAACATGTACACAAGGGCCAGGCATGGTGGCTCATGCCTGTAACCCTAGCACTTTGGGAGGCTGAGGTGGGAGGATCATGTGAGGTCAGGAGTTCAAGACCAGCCTGTCCAACGTGGCGAAACCCCGTTTCCACCAAAAATACGAAAATTACCTGGACATGTTGGTGAGTGCCTGTAATCCCAGCTACTCAGGAGGTTGAGGCAGGAGAATCACTTGAACCTGGGGTGAGGGTAGGGGGCGGAGGTTGCAGTGAGCTGAGATTGTGCCATTGAACTCCAGCCTGGGCAACAAGAGCAAAACTCCGTCTCAAAAACAAAAAAAAATGTACACAATAATTGAATCTTCCTTTTTTTTTCTGAGAGCCTCAAATTGGAGAAAAATAATTCAATTTTCTATTTTGCTAGTCATAAATATATCTGTTTCTCCTCCAAATGTAGAGAAGAAAAGGAAAGAGAAGATTTGTGATGCAAACATTAACAGTTTCATAATAAAGACATCTGGAACATAACTAGGAGTATTGAACATTTACCATTCCCCTTCAAAGATTACATAAAAACTTTGATTCATATTAAATTTTTTTGCTAAAGTAACTACTTCCTTTTCAGACTTCAGTTCCATTAGACACACATCTATTTCCATTTTAAATCACATACAAGTGCTATGTGATCAGAGGGATGGGAAACACTAGGTAAGGCCTGGTGGGTGGTAACTTCTTCATGACTAGGTAATGGAATCACCTGTTCAACTTCTAAAGCATTTAAGTCAATGAAAATGTAATCTAGACATCCATGAAAGCCACCAACATAATTTGTGTAAGCAGGTTCACCACAAGCACTTTTCAGCTTGAAGAAATGCGTAAGAGACATGTTGCATCTTTCCTCCTCCCCATTGGAAGCCCAGTCTTCATGATCCTCTGGAATGCTGCCATTGATGACAAAATGATACATTCCTGTTGATGGTGTACTATTAAAGT